TACATACATACGATGGTGCATGTTTAGTGTTTGTACAAACAAGTGTCATCTGTTGATCTCCCCAGCCCAGTGTGGCTACAGCGAATAAAGCGCGATGCGCCAGACGACAGCTAGTCATACGCAATGGTGCCCTAGCCAGCGAATTCTACCAATCTGAATTCGATGTGCTAGCAGGCTTATACCTGATAGACTTCCAAACACACGACGGCTTACCCCCAGATTGCTAATCCGTTCACACCATTCCTCGTAGGCTAAACTACGTAAACACCGATAGTCGATGGATATCTTCTACTCGCAAATTCAAAGTCTCACAACCATAAAGTAAAACTGAACGAACGGAGGCACTATATACACGACATTTGAACTTCAATGAAACGTCGCGTCTACGCCAAAGGTGTTTCAGTCCTGCGTATGCTGCTTGAGCCTTGGAAATGTGGGCAGTTATCTCCTTTGCTACACTACCGCCATTGGTCAGGCAACTACCTAAGTAGGAGAGGTAATCCATCACGACTAATTCCTGGCCATTTGGTTTCAAAGCGGGAGTTGGCGAATGCAATTAACCAGGAGTGTGACTAGAGATAGTAATTTGCCGTGGAACTATCTGGGAGAAATCTATATTGACAGTCATTCAGTAAGCCTCCGCGCTCGATGAACGTGCGCATTTATTGGTAGATATTGGTTTCGAATTACAGATTTTGGAGTACTGGGATGGCAGTTATTAGGATCGAAAGACTCGTTGCTCTTGGGAATAAGAAAGTGTGGCTATTTCCTCCGTAGTGGAGAACGACTTGCGATTGAGAGAATAACGGCGGAAACAACTTAAAATGAGGGTTAACTCCGTGACACATTTTGAGACTGGTGGAATTTTACTAGGGTATTTTACAAACATCCAAACTACTGAGAGTTTGGCTGATCTTTCTGGTTATGAGAGGAAGCAAGAAGTGGCTGGGTGAATGGGATGAAGGCTAAAGAATAGAGTCAACTAATAAAGTGGAGTGAGAAGTATCGGGGATGAATGCTCGGTTGTAATTTTCCATCTTGAGGTAACTGGCGCCTACGCAACACCCAGTGCATACTGCATTAGTTCGGCCAGTGCTGCTATACGGTGCAGAGAATTGGCCGATATGGGACCGTCGGTGTTCGAAAGCCGCTGTCTGTTCCGCAATGCGTGAGTTTGCTGAATAAAGAAATACTGAGGTTAGGTGCAGAGTTTTAGGTGATCGCGGTCGAACACTGGAGCACTAAGTCAACCTCCATGGATTATGCTGTTTGGGTTTGTTACCTATTTCACTAGGTGGATTACCGCGATGTTTGTTGAAGCAGATAATGGGTGAAAAAGTCTAGGGTGGTGTGAGGGTATGAAAAAATTTACCATGAAACTTGTTCTCATAGGCTTCATGGATGATGACCTCAAAATCAGCGTAACTGGTTGTTAGAGGCAGCGTTGCAAACAATGACTCTCATGGGAACCCGTTTGAACTTCACGGTCAACTGAAGCCCTCCTGGTCAAAATCCTGCTCGCTGTTCCAAAGTACTTTTTTCCCTTAAGAGTATAAAGGGATGAGGTAAGGACGAAGCTAGCATTTTGGTGGTGGGTAAAAATAAACTGAGCCCAAGTTTTTTGCGGTCGTTGCGAGATCCCTTCTTGCAGAATGGAATAAACGGAGTTTCTCTTCAAGATGAAGAGATAGACTGTGTATTAAACCAGAAATAAAACTGTCTGGAGA